TTTTTTTTCTTACGGTTCTGCAAATATCCATGGTAATAATCTTGTTTTTTGTAAGATGTCTTCAAAAAATTTGCCAACATACTTGACTGATATTTTAACTGCTTTGCTATTTATTTTTAAAAGCCTCTTGCTACAAATCATTCTTTTTATCGTTCCAGGCCTATATTTATATTCCGCTGGTTCTGGAGGAGCCACTCCGTAGCTGCATGAGTTGTTCTTTGCACCGCCTATATAACACTTTCTGGATGCTGGATTTACAGCATGACACAGACTCTGGGTCAATTCTAATGAAAATGTTCTTTTGCAACCTTTGCCAATATTTAGAAACATGATTATTTACACAAATGTCTCCTATTTTCATTGTTTATTTTACTTTATCATGTCTATTTCTTTTTTTTACTGAAAACAGACTCCAGATTTGTGACAGACCAAATAGATCACAGCCTAAAGGCAATGAAACTTCAGAGAGGAGACAGGCTTCTCTTTTTTTGATTAACTAATTATATTTCTGTCCTATATAAGCCGGCCATGGTGAACAAATAAAAGGAATTACTTTTACTACATAAGAAATACAATTATTTGATTTTGCACAAGGTCTAAATCACTGCACAGCCAAATTGTGTGGTTAAGAACCAGTGCTGAACTGAGACTGAAAAGAGGCCTGGCATGTTATGCATAACAGTACATATTTGTTGTCACCCTAAGCAGGGCCAACCTTAAGTTATATGGTATCCCATGCATACTTTTAGTACGGTCCTGGGGAATCGCAAGAAAATCTTGCTTTATGTGTTCGGATCCAAAGTGAATGGAACAAGTCCATCATCTGCCTTATTTTTTTCATTACTATAATGATAAAATGTTGCCACAGGAATGCAATAGAACCAAAGCCTATAAATGCTACCATGCTGGTGCCATAATCCATTGGTTTTCAGAGTATAAAGCTGGCCATACGTCTTTAGGTTTCGGCCCCCGTGGAGCTGAATGACAGACATCACTTAAATGACACATTGAAAGCGTGAAAGTTAAAATGGTGTGCAGTACAATTTAAAGAGGATTCCAGGGCTACTTTATATTAATAATTTTCAATATGAACTCCATGAAAGCAGCTGGACCTTCATTGCAGTCAGACAGTAAAGTGTGGTCCAGGACACATCCCCCCCCTCCAAACCTGATGACTGCATAATGAAGAAGGAGCAGCACACTAATGAGTCATTACAGGGCCATCTCCCATTATGGAATCATGCTTACAGTGTTTCCAGGATGGCAACACTGTGCACTAATGATTGGCTCAGACTGATGACCACATATCTTCCTAGTCTGGGTTACAGAAAAAGTAGATTTAAACATTCTGTATTTAATATATAACCGAATTAGTGGTTTTGTATTGGCTTAGATTTAGGTAGAGGTAGGAGGTAAAAATACAGCTATGAGTACCTCCCTGGGGGTGGTACCTTGTGTGTATGCCGGTATAGTTATGTGGTATAATAATGTGGATTTAGTGGGTCCCAAAAATTAGGAAAAAAAACCTGGTCAACAGAGGCACCCATCAATGGAGAGGGTCCAAGACTGGATTTTTGATTGTTAAAAGGATTTTATTTAAATCGATGGATTTAGGTAAAACACCTTCAACATGTTTCTTTACTGAAATCCATTGATGTAAATAAAATCCTTTTTTCAACCAAAAGTCTTGAGACCCTCTCAATTGATAGGTGCCCCTGTTGACCAGGTTTTTTTGCCTAATTTCTGGGGCCTCCTCTATCCAAATTACTATACCACATTACTATACCATAATTCACACAGTCACTGGCATCAGGATGTCCGGATTCTCTCAACAAACAGAGAAAGCGATCAAAATCTGTATAGAAACAATAACTACAATTCTCCGTATGCTCCAAAACCAGGTTATCTGACGCAGAAACTGGTGTTTGGGACCTCCTCTATCCACACTGTCTAGTAGTGGTGGGGTGCTGATCTTTCTCTGCTGCAGCTTCACTTTCACTTACATAATCCGTTCTCACCGCCGCTCTGTGACTGGTCAGTGAAAGAAAACGCAAGAGACTGATAACTCATCTCTTTGTCACTGTGCTCTCTCCCCTTATTGGCCTACTCCTTGCACTTCAGCACACCTGGTTGGCTCCTTGTACCGTTTCCTCCTCCCCTGCTCTCTGAGTTCAACTCTACTGGGTCTGCAAGAGGCTGATAAAAAGTCAAATTCAAGTACTTATAGTGTTTACATAAGAATTTTTTTTTAAAGACGTATTAGGGATGTATTAATAGCTTCCCAGTTGCATCGATTTATGTCTTTAATATCTGCCTGGCGTTCAGCTTTATTAACTAGCTTTTTTTTGCCTTCTATTTCTGTAACATAACATGCATATTATTATATTATAGGCTGCACAGGAAGGCAGCAGGAAGTCAATGGAAATAATCTGCAAATAATCTTAATACCATGTTAGGAGAAACAAAATTTAAAGAGATAGAAAAACAGACCTATGCGGACATTGGCGTTACCTGGAATTGCGAGCCTGAAATAAGAGCTAATTTGGATGGAAAAGGCGGCGGCTCGGCTGGCAGTAATATTTTTCATTTACCGTTAAAAGAGACTTGTTGTCTAAACTGCAGAACCCAGCCAGTGAATATGTAAGGATTTATGGTGCTGCTCATTTTATTTGTTAGATGCATTTAAGTATTGTTCTCGTGCACAATAAAATGTCACATCTGATCAGTAAAACTGCCAAGATCAAAAACCCTTACACAGTCTGGTTGTTAAGCAAAATAAACTGTGAAAAGAACCCACGGAAGGTTTAACAGCTGCAGGAATTGGCATAATGTGGCTTCTCGCTAGCAGCCGAGTGTCTTCAATGGCTGTCAGGTCATGCCGAGACTTGTAGTTTAACTATAGCTAAAGATATACATTGGAAAAAGCCTATATTGAAGACCTTCATAAGGGCTTAAAGTGAACCTGTGCTTTGAGAACTGAGTGAATAAGGGCAAAGTGACAGTGTCTGTGAAAAGTTCCCCCATGGCCTAGTGATACTCACTTATCCATGGCCAAGTTATACTCACCCCCTGCCTCTGCTTCCTATGTTGCCGCTGTCAGAGTGATGTCATCCCCTCATATGACCATCCTCAGACCTGGTAACTGGACACATAGGGCATACTGCCTCCAGGGCAACAACACCACTGTTAGTTTTTTGGATTCCAAATACTGTCAGCTCTGCATATTTCATTTTTAATGGATTAAAAAAAAATATGGTCCTCTCCTCATCTCCTCCCCCTTCCTCATCTCCGTAACCGCTCCTTGTGCACAGGCAAAAAGTATGGGAAGTTATCAGCTAATAAGATTTCTGGCAAAATAAATTACTTTTTTGCACATATTGAACAGATACGGTTTAACGAGATATTTTCAATTGTACAGTATATTTAGCAGATCAAAGGAGAGTAAATGAGAGAAGTTCAATGTTAGGGTTTATATACACTTTAAATGGGAAACTGTAGTTTGTTTAAATCATTACATATATCAACAAAGTAGGTAGAACTGAGTGTTGAGCTTTTGGTGAAAGATGAAGAGAATGTTTTGGTTTATTTAATCTGTCAAGGATTCTGGTGGTAAAATCTATGAACTTGAGTTGCCAAGGCTGCCTACCTGACACAACCATTATGAAGGTTTCCCTCACCCTCTGCTAGGTTTTTATTATGTTATGTTATAGAGGCCTGGTGCCCAACATGCAGCCCACTGGATTTCTGTGTGTGGCATGTCTAGTGCTGGGCTTGGTCCACCACCAGTTGAGCACCTGTTGACAGTTTGTAGAGAGGAAGCAGGGTGCCAGGTGTAAGAATGCTCTTTGAAAGAACACCTGTAGAAAGTATAGTCAGGACTAGATGGGGAGTGAGAGTAAGGCCAATGATCAGGTGGGTAAGCACCGACCACCAATGCAGAGGGATTAAAAGCACTGCCACTGACCAGCAATGGAAATGTGGGGAGGGGGCAGGGGCATCACCAGGCCAGGTGTCATCTGATGTAGCCGCCAGGTGTCACACGGTGCACACGTCATTACATATACACTTGATGTCGTTGGTGATGTACGCCAGCAAAGAGAGGAGATTTCCTGTGTCCCCTCCTCTCTCCGACTTTTCAGAAGTGTACTCCCTGCACCCCCCTTGTGACGCCACTTGGAGGGGGTTAATAGCACTGCCACTGATTAGCAGTGAAGGGTTGGTTAATTGTACTGCTATGGAAACCCATGCTGGGGGTTATTATTGCTGCCACCAATACCAATGCTGGGAGCTAGTACTGCACTCATGAACATCAATCCATGTGGTTATATTTGCTGCCACTGCCACTGCCAAGGACCATTCATTTTGAATTGGCTGCCCAGCAACGCGATGCACCTCAACACACAAAAACATGCTGCTTTTATTAAGCCCTCTGGGAATGTTGGGGGCCACATCTGAAGCCCACTATAATTTCCAAATTGACTAGAAATGATATAGATGTAGGAACATCAAAAACTATGGTGGGGAGGTCACACAACTGCAGTCCCATAGAGATAAGAAACCAGAAGGTTATTTTCAATACCAGACTCCACCTATAAGTGTAATATCAATGCATTTGGAAATGTCTGTACATGGGAATAATCATTTTCCCTCACAGAGAATAAAGAGATCCCTTTGTCTTAATAAAGTCACTGCTGGATCTTGAAGTATGATGACTAAATCGACCATGACTAGAACACTTATTTCCATCTACAATAGACATCAGAGATCTGCCTGCCTAGGGCCACCCATATGAGTGATAAACTAATTGGCCAATTGATTCCACCCGTCTATCACATTAATAAGTTTCCTCTTGTGTTTCAGTTTCTAAAACAAGCAAGAGATAAGACGACGCTTTTAATCCGTGGAACCGGGCACCTTCTGTTGTATACAAAACATGTATTAAGTAATTGTATGGAAGCATGAATTATTTGCCTGTTACATGCCCAGGGTGTATTGCTTACCCTTTGTAAATAATCTTCAGAGTATTGTAAAGTGTCACTCGGAGAAATGCCTGAGAGGTTATAATTCTGGCTGCAGGATCCAGAAGCCAGATTCATATGTTCAGCTTTGTAAAAGAGGTGGCGGCTCGTAGAATTAGCCTGTGGCTCCAGGACATATGCTCGGTTTTCAAGTGTAATTAATCCCCTGAAAATAAACAAACAGCGTGCTCTCATTGATGTACATATTTAAATATTCATATACAATGCTCAGAAACATGCCATACATGCCATTAGTAAACCCATACCTATAGTACAAGTAAACATAAAACGGATATATTATGCAGAGCATATGGCAAATGAGGGACGCATTAAATGGCCATTATCACACCAGAGAAATGTACAGTCATAACCCAATGTACAGAAGCTGCGTACTGAACCTAGGGTAAAGAACCAGTTGGTGCTTTTGAAAACATGAATGAATACATAAAAAGAGTGACAAGAAAATGTAGTATTGGCTATAGCAACTGTGTAGAAAACGTTACCAGCACGTGTCAACAATGCATCTTCTTTATTGATGCAGACTGTCAAATAACAATGTTTTGGGGCCGTGCAGGGTCCCCTTTATCAGGTTTTAATATGACCTCATTCTAAAAGCTCATATTAAAACCTGATGAAGGGGACCCTGTGTGGCCCCGAAACGTTAATTTTTGACAGTCTGCATCGATAAAGAGGATGGATTGTTGACACTAGTCATAGGTGTGCTGATAACATTTTCTACATATTTGAAGATACACGGTGCCCATCCGCGGTTACTACAGCACCCTGCTTTGTACATAGGGGTTCCAGTAAGGAGTGCAGCAGTTCCTCTTTAAGTCTATAGCAACCAACCACAATCCTGCTTTCATCCTTAGGGCTTATTCACATGTGCTGTGGCTGGGATCGTAGTTTCCTGTGGCTGGGATCCTGTGGCTGGGATCGTAGTTGATTGCGAACATCTGCATGCGAGAAGCCTGTAAGATGCAATGACAGCATGACAGTAGCCATAAGTTTCTGCCACCGTTCACATGCATCCACGAATCTAGCAGTTAGGGACAAATGTCCAACCCTGGACACAGACCATAGGTGTGAATGAGCCATTAGCACTGCACTGCTGAAAAAAACAAACAATTTCAATGCTGATGGGTTACTATGGGCAACAAGGAATCTATTTCTTAGCCAATGTCTCATACAAAGGCCCTGAATTGTTATACTTTCTGTCTCTACAAGAGTGTTCTAATCTTTTTCTGGTATTAAATAGACATGTGCGATTTGTTTCGTTACGAATCGAAAATTCGTACAAATTTTCCTGAAATTCGTAAATTCGGAAGCATACGAAATCCGAATTGCAGTTTCCGAAATTTATATCTGAAATGCGAAATTCCGTTAACGAATTTCGGATCCGAATTTCTTTGAAACTGGAACTAATATTACCCCTGTAAATGAGGTTGAACAACATGACAAGATTTTTTTTTAATCCGAAATACGGATCCGCTGCTGCTGAGGGTTGCATTACAATACATACACAGGCAGGAAATACGAAATTCCGTTGACAGAATTTAGTTCCGTTACGAACATTCATTATATTGAAGTTAAAAAGCAAAATACATTTATATTGGAGTTGATGGTAGTTTTTTTTTAAGTCCGAAATACGAAATTCGGATACGTAATCCGTTAACGGAATTCGTATTTCGTTTTGGTTGACCAATCAGAGGTTTTCTCTTCTGCTGCTGAGAGTTGCATTACAATACAGGCAGGAAATACGAAAGTCCGTTGACGGAATTTAGTTCCGTTACGAACATTCGTTATATTGAAGTTAAAAAGCAAAATACATTTATATTGGAGTTGATGGTAGTTTTTTTTTAAGTCCGAAATACGAAATTCGGATACGTAATCCGTTAACGGAATTCGTATTTCGTTTTGGTTGACCAATCAGAGGTTTTCTCTTCTGCTGCTGAGAGTTGCATTACAATACAGGCAGGAAATACGAAATTCCGTTGACGTATTTTCGTTCCGTTACGAAAATGTGCCAAAACTAATGAAAATCCGTATTTTGTACGAATCCGAATTGAGTTTCGGATACGAATTACGAAATACGAAATAATGGATATTACGAAACGGAACAAATATTTTGACGGCGCACAAGTCTAGTATTAAAGCAGAACTACACCCTCGTATACTTAACAGCCAATGAAGTTGCCATCATGGCTTTTATTTGGATTGCAGGTGCCATAGTGCTGCACATGTGATTAGCTTTGACACCAGCCATTTGATGGCTTGAAAGTTCGGTTGAGAGCTGAAATAAGCACACTGGCAACCTTGACAGTTGGCATGCCTTAAAAGCAACTGTTTTGGGAGATCATTACATTCGTGGGTAAAGTTCCACTTTAAGTAGGTAGACATGGCGTGGCCCCTTCAAGATTAAAAGTGACCCTAAACTCAGGAGTTAAATCTTAAACTCAGGAGTTAATGTACCTTAACTATTAACAGAAATGTATCTTATTTGTGTATCACTCGGCTGTAGATCCTGCTGACACTGTCCTTCCTTCTGGAGGGTGGCTACTTGTGTTCCCCATGGTCCCTGTGTGTGTTGTAAAGTTGCCACCGCTCCAAGCTCACTCCTGTGATAGAATACAATCTTAATACAAATTAGCAAACTAAATGTGAGATTGTAGTCCATCACAGGCAGTAACCATTTCAGGCATATTATCGATTTGTGTTTTTGGGATCTGCCCTTCGCCGGCCAAAATAAAAATGCATATTGCATTAAAAAGCATAAAAAATGTGGAACAAAACATGCTAAAAAACCCCAAAAAACTGAAAATGCAGATGCACCAGAGTGAATGGTTCTTTTTGACACATGCTAGATGTTTTAGTTCAGCATTCTTCAGACAACTAAATATGATCACCACCTGGTATGAATGGCTTTACCCTAGACCACCTATCCCCAACCACACACACACACTGTCTACAAATATCAAATTGTTACCATTCCTCTAGTGTAGTCATTGTAAATTTAGTTCATTTGTGCACATGTGGCAACTTTGAAATATATTGTTTATTTGCTATTCCAAGCTAATGATCCATTATTAAGTTTCATAAACCATAGAGGAAACCGAGAGACTGATGGGAGTCAAATGTCAGCGAACGGCGCTCCGATAATAAACTAATAAGTACATCCATCTATATTTGGATGATTTTTCTTTATAAAGGAGAAGTAGGCTGAGATAATAATATATTAGCACTGGGGGCACAATTTTAGTTCCATGTTGTGCCAGATGTTCCAAAGATGCAAAGTGTAAAAAGAGGGGAAAAAAAAGTAAACGGAACATTTGCTTGGAGCCATTTTCAAAGGTAGAGCTTTAATGCCAATTTTTGATAATTACAGTGATTAAACCATCACCACGAGCAAATGCTGAGTTAATTCTTGCATATTGAGGTCATTGTTTGCTAAATAATTGCATAATTAAGTTTAGAGAGAAAATAAACACGTTTACTAACCTTGAATCATAAATTGGTTAATTGGAGTGCTCGGCTTGCTTTTTCACCTTAATGGAACCCGACTGTCAGCAAAACAGATTCAAAGTCTTTTGAGACAACTGCAAGCGGGTAATATAGGGATCAGGGGTGTAGATAAGGGGGGATAGGAGCATCCTTCTCCAGAGCATCGATGCAGCAGCTAGCTCTGACAGTAGCTGGGTACCCTAAAGCACTTGCTACACATGTCTTGAGGGGTACCCCGAGACTTGAGGTCGCAGCCACCCACAATTTTTTTTGTTAAGAATAAGGTGGCGTTGCAGTGCCTATTCCAGTTGGGTAGTTGCACTGGGGGAGGGGGTACGCAATTTCAGTATAGAAGAGGAACCTGTATAACTGTGCAAGACTGAAGGAAAGGGCAGAGTTCAGCTTTAAACATGCATTATTTTTATCATCTGCTCAACTTTGTAAAAAAAAAAATCAGAATTCCCAAGACCTAGTTAGTGATGTTGCTGAAAAGTATTGCATTCATCATACACTTAAAGATAAATAACACACATATACATGAGAATAGAGCTTGATCCCACACATTACATCTCACAAGTTTTTTTTATCAGTGAGGCTGCTGACCACATTAAAAAGGATCTACAGAAAGGTACAAGGAGACAAGACAAGTTCAACCTGTACAGGAGATTAATAAGTGGCTATTTTGGCATGCCGTTTTAAAATAAACTTAACTTCTGGTTATGCACTTCTCATCACATTCTTATACTAGCATAGCTGGATTTCTAAAAGTTTAAATAAAATAAAAAAAGATAAATAAGGCTCATTGTTCATAAACTGTATGTAAATGTAGATTCAGCAACACTATGTACATTGGTCAATGATACATGATAGAACCTACCTGAGGCCATAGCACAAGCTTAAACTGACTGCTGAGCCTGGATGTCCTTCCACCACTCCATGATAGTAGCAGCGATCCTAGTGCAAAGAAACAAGGCATTTTAAGTATTTTTAAAAATGTTTTATTGTCTTGCCCCCAACAAAAAACTTTTTTTTTTTTAGCTATGGACTAGTATCCATGGAGAAAAAGTGGAGAAGGATTAGAACCCCTTTCAGATTATTCAACATCATTGATCTCCTTCCTGATTTGAATAATGCTAAATGATTAGAGCAGAAATCCACTGCAGTGGAAACAGATACAAACATGTAAATCCAGGAAGGAATGAAAGCTTGCATGGCACAAAAATAAAAATAAAAAATAGAATTTTTATGCATTACACAATGCTTAAATGGGAGTTTACAGTGGACCCTCTGTTTGCCCATGCAGGACAAAGCAACAAGTTAATTTAACAACCCCCTTCCCCAGAAGCAAATACTCAGATACAATTTGCTCCACTGGTGATCTACTTGGCCCACCAGGAGGAAAAAGAAATACCTGAAACCACAGAGTAAGGTAGTAGCATGTGACTTACTCCCCTCACTCCCACGTGACAGCTTTGGTACTTGGTGATTGGCCCAATGCTTTTTCATGGAGAAAGAGAGACAGTCTTCAGTCCCATGAAAGCTCCAAGTCACAATTTAAACAGGGCTTTCCATCATTGCGCTTGCTGGCTGAACAGAGTGGAGGCAGAGTGAAGGGAAGATGAGTACATGCTGCATAGTCAAATCACAGGTTCACTTTAGTTTACACTAGATTGAATTTTAAAATGCCACTACAGAATATAGCAAAAATTTAGACTATAAACGGAAGTTAAAAGGTACAGTTATGAAAAAGAAGTGTTTGCATCATTAAAAAGAGCAATTTTTACACTTATTACACGCTTATTCCACAAAGATGGTAAATACATGAAAATGCTGATGCCAACCCAAACCTGTGCTTTGTAACTGAAGTTAAAGATGCCTTAAGATTGTATCTGCACCTCCAACCACCCTCCGATGTCTGTGGTAAAGGCAACGTAACTTTTTCTAGTTAACCTATCCTTTACAACCCCCATCCATTATTGTAACCCAGAGAGGTAAAAACTTATCTTCACCCTAAATCTTCACTATACATACCTGCTTAGCACCTCACAGCCATTGTTTAAAAATAATTCCAGCTGGGCTCTGCGCCTACAGAACCTATTTATTTGTATTGATATTTTTTATATTGATATAAGTAGGGCTGTAACTATTATTTTCATGTCAACTAACCAATAATGAGAAATCGATGACAGCAATTCTCATTATCGATTAAATCCCCATGCTCCCTCTGATACTTCTGCAGGATTGTATTGGTCTATTTTATTGGAATGTGTATATATATATATGATAAATGTTGATAAGGGCATCCTGTGATCCTGTGTCCATTGCAATGGCTGTGAAAGATACCCCCATTTTGAATTCTATGAATTCCAAGCACAGTGTGCTGACAGCATATTAAAACATCATAAGCAAATCTGATTCCGCCTATGCTGTTTGTGGTCATGTTCTGGCTCTGATTAATTTTAACCTACATTGCCTGTTTGTAATAAAACCATCAGAAGCCATTTAGCAGCTGCAGGTAACTGTTCCCTTTTGACACACAAAATTTCCTTCTTCATTCATCAATTCCCTCATGGGATGTACCTCATCCTCCACCCCACAACCTCCCTAGAACAGAAAAACTATGCAGGCTTTGAGCAAGGGTGACCCCAGCTTTATATCATAAGACTGCTTTTAATGAGGCAAGTAAGCCAAGAATATATAGATTATTCCTGGGATCGCAGCCCCGTCTCCTCCTAGTCAAGCACATACTTTTCTAATAACAGGAATCTATGACACTGCTTGTGGAAGAACCATCATCTGTAAAGACTTAGAATAAAGCTGTTTAAACAAATTTTGTAACATTATACATTCGCTACAGATTATGACAGCAGCCGAACATCTGCAGTACATTCTCTACAACTGCCAATCATCAAAAAGAACACCTTCATGTAACAAATTAATGACCAACTTCAGGTAACAAATGAAATCAGTCACTAAATGGCTTTGTCTGTCCAGATAACCTGCATTTTGAGGAGGAGATCAGCAATGAGATCCCCTACCCCTATATTTCTCTCATGACAGGTTTACATGGACACAGGGCGGAGTCTTGCATAGCTTTCCCTTTTTGCCTCATGGCCCAACTGTGCATCCAGAGCCACTGATATATACAGAGATACTGCCAGATATCATATAGCAATTTATTATAACAGCATGCAGCAGTTTCTCCCTAGATTGCAAACATCAATGCAATATATAGATATGAGTGAAGCGGAGCCTAGGGAGTTATTTTTCTCTCCAACCTCACCATACCATCTATGGTCATACTTCTCCATTTTTAAAGGCTAATTCTACCTTTAACACTGTGTCCTGTGTTAAACCTATGTTTAAGTTGTACCATAGAACATTGTGCCATTCATATAACCTATTATACGAAGATGTACACCTTTTTTCTGCAGGCCTTTGGATGGGACTGTAGCCTTTTGTTACAGAATTCTGTAGTGTACGATATAACTGCCAGAGAACTACAAGAAGAGGTATTCATAACATGTGAATCCTGAACTTTACTACTGTAGGCTGGACCATTGTAAAGAAAGCAATATTGGAAGCCACTAGGATTTATTAAATAGGCAGAAAGGTGCCAAGATGAAAATTAGAGCCATTCTAGTTTACCTTAAAGGAAGGAATGGTATATTTAATTGGAGGACACCTACAGTCATGTAATAGAGTGTATGTGGGTTCAGCAAACCAAATGGCTGCTTTCAAGATAATTATTTTTCATTACGCTTGAAAATGAATTCCTTTTACCTGGACACATCCAAGTGTATTTAGCCCCTTGGAAGAGATCAAACATTTCCGTTAAGTATGAAGAGCAGAGCATATTCCCGGGCAATCACCAAAATTAGGTTTAATTTTAAATAAAGTGTGACAGATCAAATTTCTAGAGCAGTCCTCTCCACGGCTAACTAATGCAGAGCTGTCTCCAGCTCTAAGTTGAGCTGTCATTATATTTGGCAACTTTATCCACAGCTCACAATGGAGACTGGCCAAATGAACTTCAACTATAAAAGTTTAATAAAAGGAAAAAAGAAAAAGAAATTAAAGTTTTTGAAGGCAGGGGAAATCTGAGGTTTACATAATTACTTTATAGATTTATGGAATTAGTTTGCCATTTTCATTGTCAGCATAGCCCATAAAAAGAGACAGCATTCAACCAATATCTTTTATGTTCTAACAGATATGTTTAATTATAAAATGTATATTATATGTTGATGGTTTGGAAGGAAAAAAAATCCACCCAAATTGCCAAATCAAGGAATACTACATGCTTTGCTTTTCCCCATATAGGTTATCACTCACCTCATAGAATGCTAGAAGGTTGGTTTGACACGAATGGTTTTTCCTCAAGCCATATTGATTTTCACTTATATCATATCCATATAAAAATTCTTGAATATGGTCTTTTATCATACCCTCAAATAACTTCCATACTCTGGATGTTCATCTGACTGGTCTAAAATGTCTAGGCACAGATCTCTAACCTTTTCTAAATATTGGTGCAACAGTAGCTTTACGCCAATCAGCTGGTACCTCCCCAGTCAGTATGGAGTCCTTATAAATTAGGAACAATGGCCTTGCTATAAATGTGCTTAGCTCTTTAAGTACCCACGGGTGCAAGTTACCTGGTCCCAGGGATTTATTCACATTACGTTTTGCTAGTCCTTGGTGAACCTTGGTATTTTCCTCACAGTGCTACACACATTCTAGTTGTGTTCATTAAACCCAACATTTTCCTGAGTAAATACTGTGGAGAAGTATTTAATAGTTCAGTCTTCTTCCTGTCATTAGTGATCAACTGTAACTCTTCCGGGCTGGTTCAGTTTGGATCGCAGCTACAGACAAGTGTTGCTTCAGAGTTCCCTTTTAATTAAGGAGCGTAGGAGTCAGATAGGAGTGGGCAATCAGTCCAGCAATAAGATAATATCACCTCAGTGATAGCAGCAAAAGGATATATATGTAAGCTGCAGAAGTTACCTCACTTCCAGCAAAAGAAAAGCATAAGTCTATGATAACGTTTGAAAAGATCAGGTAAAAATACTTGCGGTTCAGCAGCCGGTGTCACTACGGTTGCTATTGAAGACAGCTAGTGGAGACAGCTTAGTTAGCAAATAAACAGATACAGCAGTACGTTGCTATTGGAGACAGCTTGGCAGACAAACAGAAGCAGCAGTACATTGCTATTGGCAAATGGACAGATACAGCAGTATGTTGCTATTGGAGACAGCTTGGCAGACAACAGATGCAGCAGTACGTTGCTATTGAGGCAGCTTGGCAGATAAACAGAAGCAGCAGTCCGTTGCTATTGTTGACAGAGTGGCAAACAACAGATGCAGAGGTATGGGAACTATACTTGCGGTTCCGCAGCTTGTTAGGACGATCAATTGCAGCATTCAGTTAGTTGGTCTCAGGGGGAGCTTGGTCAGTGACACTGAAGCCAGGGATGATCGGAGTGCCTGTCAGTAAAGTTACAGGCTCCAGAGAGTTCAGAGATGAGGTGAGGCAAGACTTGCCCGGGGTGTTCCTCTTGCACGAACGCCAGCCAATTGAGATTTGAGGAGGGAGGAGTCAGATGACAGCACGGGAGTGAGTCACTCCCTGCGCCGACCACGGACCGCAGAACAGGTGCGTATATTACATCAACCTCCCGTGCTTATCTTTACATACAGGGCTTGGAGAACAAATTGCCTGGGAGCTAAGTGGCGTAAAAATTGCATCCCTTGTCGTTCTGGAAGGCCAATATTGTCCCTTCCACTAAATATTTTTTTTAAAGGCCAGCTTCTTCTTACTAATAAGTTGTTTTACCTTTGGATTCAGCCACGCAGGTTTAGCTTTTATTCTTTTAGGCTAATGGTATGCACTTGAAAATGCCATTGATTACTACATCCTTAAAGCAAGCCCACTTAGCCTCAGTGCTCTTT